GTGCTAGTCCTCAAAGTTTGGAAGAGAATGCTTTTTATCTTATTGGGCTAAAAATGGTTCTTTTTTGATAATATGTATTTTTAATTCAGTTTATAAAAGAAACATGTTAAACTTGAAAACGTTATTCAGAGGGAAATAAGTCAGTCACAAAAGGAGAAATATTTTATGATCCCATTTATATGAAATAGGCACACCTAGAGAGATCAAAGATTCTTAGTGGTTGTGGGGGTGGGAGGAGCCCTGGTGGCTCAATGGTTAAGTGATCAGCTGCTAATAGAACAGTCAGCAGTTCTAACCCACCAGCTGCTCCTCTGAAGAATGATGTGGCAGTCTGCTTCCATAAAGATTACAGCCTTGGAAACCCTATGGGGCAGTTCTCCTCTGTCCTATAGGGTCACTATTAGGGCCTAAAATGTTAGCACTTACATGTATTTAAAAAATACTCTCTGATAGATGATTATTTTCCCAAAGTCCAACCAAAAGTTTTGTTGTTATATCTTCTTTCCTTTTTAAATGTTATTATAGTAAAATATATATAATAAAACATTTTTCATTTTAACTATTTTTAGTGTACATTTCAGTGACATTAATTCACCATGCTGTGAAACCATCACCAATATCTCTTTGCAAAAGTTTTCATCATCTCAAATGGAAACTCAGTACCCCTTAAGCAATAAGGCCCCGTTCCCCACTCCTCCCAGCTCCTGGTAACCACTAATAACCTTTTGTCTCTGCACGTGCCTGTTCTATATATTTCATATAAGTGGGATTGTACAATATCTGTCCTTTTGTGTCTGACTTATTTCACTCAGCATAATGCATTCAAGGTTTCATCCATGTCATAGCATGCATCAGAACTTCATTTCTCTTTATGGCTGAGTAATATTCCATTCTACGTATCGTACCACATTTTGTTTATCCATTCATCTGTTGATGGGTGCTTGGATTGTTTCCACCTTTGGGCTATTGTGAACAGTGCTATGATCGTTGGTGTACCCATATCTGTTTGCGTCTCTGCTTCCAAGTCTTTTGGGTGTATACCTAGGAGTGGCTAGGTCATGTAGAATTGCTGGGTCATGTGGCAACTCTGTGTTTAACTTTTTGAGGAACCGCCAAACTGTTTTACACAGAGTCTGCACCGTTCTACCTTCCCATCAGCAATGCACAGTGGTTCCAGTTTCTCCACATCCTTGTCAACACTTGTTATTCTCTGTTTTTTATGATAAGAGCCATCCTAGTGGGTGTGATGTGTAGTTGTCTCTTCTTGTTTTGGTGACAGCACTTAAATGAAGAACTGAGCACTGAGGTTGACACCTCTCCTACTACCTTTTCTTTTCTTTCTTTTATTGTACTTTAGGTGAAGGTTTATAGAACAAATATTTTCTCATTAAACAGTCAGTACACATATTGTTTTATGACATTGGTTAACAACCCCACAACATGTCAACAATCTCCTTTCTCAATCTTGGAGGACTTTTTTTTTTTTTTTTTGGTGAAAATATACATAGCCAAAGTTATATCATTTCAAAAGTGTCTACGTGTACAATTCAGTCACATCGATTACATTCTTCCAGTTGTGCTGCTATTCTCACTAGCTTTTCTTGTTTTGAGAAGGATGGCTACCAGATAAAATCTGAGATTAATTTCAGAGATATTCACACCACATTTAAAAGGCTCTGTAACAGAGCCCTGGTGGTTGTTAGGTTGCTAACCAAAAGATCGGCAGTTCAAATCCACCAGCTGCTCCTTGGAAACCCAATGGGGTAGTTCTACTCTGTCCTATAGGGTCACTGTGAGTCAGAATCGACTCGATGGCAGTGGGTTTTACGATTTATTAATTAAAAGTTCAGTTAGCTCTTCTCAGTGTAATGGTGGCACTTTATATAAAGCCCAGCATGTCATTCAGCCAAGGTTGGAATTGTTTGGAAGTCAGATATGCTGGGGGTTACTCTTGGCCCTGCCTTTAATCAAATATCCTATTGTTGTACTGACAGCGGGTTGCAATGAGCCCAAGGATGCCTGGCAGAGATTGGTTCCCCCTCGCCCCTGGGCTCATCTTCCCCATGGGTCTCTAGAAGGCCCTGGTCCCCTCGGCACTCACTCCCCAGGGGTGAGGTGGGGCAGTCAGTCTGGAGTCCCTGGTGACATGGCTGCATGGTCCTGCCATTACAGGCATATGTTGCTTCTGAAAGAGCAGTACGGGAAGCAAGTGGTCGTGAACCTGCTGGGGAGCCGAGGCGGAGAGGAGGTGCTCAACAGAGCCTTCAAGGTAACGTCTGTCCATCTGTCTGTCTCTCGCTGCTCCGCACCACGGGCTAAGATGGGGGCGGGTGGAGAAGGGGCGCCCCCTGACCTGCACAGTGTATTGGGCTCCAGGAGAGGGCTCTTTAAAAGCATCACTGCTCTGCTTTCAGAATTTTTTTCCACCAGTGCTCCAGCCAGTTAACACAACAGCCTTAGGAGATCCAGGGCTCCCAATGCGTTCAATTCCATTTTTACGACGTGGTGCCTGGGGAGGACCTGCTCAAAGTCAAAACTAGATGTTTCTCACCCCACACTGCATGGGGCCTTGAGGTTCATGACAGCACCCTTGAGAGAGCTGTCAGCTCTCTGGAGAGCTCCTTCTGAGTCCAGAAAGGCGGAGCGTGGGCCCACCCTCTCCCATCCCTCCCCTCCACCCTTCCTTCACTCTGTGGGCCCCTCACCTCCTGGGGGAGCTGCAGGCTCCCCTCTCGGGGCAAGTCCACACAGACTCCTGCTGGAGCATTTGTGCCTGGGTCTCTGCTTAAAGCCAAGAGTTTTCCATATTTTCCTCCTGCTTCAGTGGCAGCCTCGAAAACTTCCATTGGCCTGGGGGCTGCTGGGAAAGCTCCTACAGCCTCCCGGGGGCACAGGCATGTGTGGAAGGAAACCCCACAGGGCTTGGAAGCTTCAGAGTAAGCGACCCTGTCTTGCCTGGCTCTCCCTGCTCGTGGGGCCCAGGCCTCCGTGGAACCTGCTTCCCAGGTGTCTCGTCTCCTACCTGAAAAGCTCAGAGTGAGCTGTGCTCCTTTGCTTTCATTCCCAGCCTGCATGTGCCCTGGTTGTCAGAGAAAATCCCTCTGTTTTTTTGTTTTCTGTTTTTATTGTGGTAGATATATATGTAACAAAACTTCTACAGTTTCAGCATTCTTCACAGGTACAATGCAGTGACATTAACTTATTCTCATCATGTTGTTTGACCATCAATCACCCTTACCGATTCCCATATTTTTCCATCACCTCAGTGATGGATTTTTCCATCAAGCTCAGTGTCCCCAAGGCAGTGAGTCCCGCCCCCGGCCCCCACCCCCCCACTCATAAGCACTAATCAACTTGAGTCTCTGTACCCTTCCTCTGGTTGTTTGAAGCTCAAGGAAGCCCCTGTGGGGCAAGTTTGAAGGCAGAGCTCCCCTCAGCGGGAGGGAGAGCAGAGCTCAGCCTTGGCTGCCTGACCTTCTGGCGGGAACCCAGACCAGCTGAGTGCTTATCTCACTCAGCTTAGAAATCCACATCTTGGACAGCAGGCTTTTGGTTCTTGGTTTTATCTGGCCAGACCTGCTTTTCCTGTGTGGTTTGTTGCTATTAGCAACAAGCTTCAGAAGTATTTCCCTTCTACCCATCTTGGCAGGGATGCTGCCTTCTTATTTTAAGGAAGAGGGGGAAAAAAGCAAACAATAAAAATGAAAGAAGAGTAGCACTAAAAAACCCAAACCCCCAGTAAGTCAAGAAATAAAGTATCACTTTCTTTAAAAAAGAAGAAGAAGAACCCAAGGTGCTGTCTCCCCTATTATGCCTTGAGTTATGGGAAGAGGACACCTTCAGCCCCACCTCCTGGCACAGGTGGGAATGCTCCCAAGAACTCAGGAGACGTAGGTTCTGCCTGCCTGGGATGTCACACTGAGCCTTGGCTCCCAGTGACAAATGACCTAGTAATGTTCTTGTCTACATTAGGGCTGCTCAGAGTGTGGTCTGTGCCCCCCAGGAGCCAGTCTGTGGCCCAGTGTTCTCAGTCCACACTCGATAAGGTGCTTGCTCCAGAATCAATCAACTCTGCCATTAAGCTCGCTGACTTAGTTCAGCTGACTTCATCATAGCAAGACATTCTTGATGAAGAAAGCCATGCAGTGCTTCACATTATGGCGTATCGTGGACAGGCACTTTGAGTATGACCAGACTGGATGACCTATAGTCCTTTGAGACCTTTGTTATGGATTGAATTGTGTCCCCCCAAAATGTGTGTCAACTTCACTAGGCCATGATTCCCAGTACTGTGTGATTATCCACTTATATTCCATGCAGGCCGCACCCCCAAGGAAACTCCTTTTCAACCGATTGGCTACTCACAGCAGATCCCATCATGGAGGTGATCACATTATATCAAATATCATCATGGAAGTGATTACATCATCATACGACTGCCAAACTACATCATAACAGCCAAACCACTGAGAATCACAGCCCAGCCAAGTTGACACACAGCCTTAACGATCACATCCTTGAAGGTCATTAGCACCTCAGACTGGACAGATACTGGACTGAGTGGAGTGTGGTGCGTGGTGGGGTGTGTGAGGCTGGGTGGCCTGGGGAGGCAGCTAGTTCGTCCTTGGCCATGAGGCTGTTTGGTGAGAAAGCTGAGGTGTTGTCAGTCCACACAAGCCTCATGTGTGAAGAAAGGCAGCTGTGAGGAGAGTCGTGGAGCCCCTGAGTGAACACACCCTGGACTCCCCCATCTCTGTCCCACCTTCAGCTCATGTGCTGGGCCTGGGCTAGGCTGGCCTTACAGACCCTAGCACCCCCTCCCCTTCCACGGGGCCAAACATCCTGCATTTGCCCAGAGGCCGCAGCTGACAACCTGGCCACATCCACCAGACACTTGTGCTTAAGTCCGGATGTAACTGGTTACCAGGGCAACCATGAGCTGTATTATGAGCTCCACAGCCTGCTGCAATGCCACTGTGCTTGGGACCTGCAGTCCTTGGGTTATGTGAGAACAGAGCGAGCCTCCCACCTGTGCCTCCCGAGGGCCCTGCGGGGTGTGATGTCTGCGGGAGCCCCCTCTGCCTCCTTGGCCTGCTTTTGCCCCGGGTGGACCTTCTGCCACTCTGCAGGCAAGGGGCTCTTTGTGGTTTTGGCCCCCCACGTTTCTGTCCTGGCTTCCATTTCAGGGTCAGGATGCAGACATGACTTGATGCACCCTAAGCTTTAGAACGAAGCCTGGATGCTCTAGCGAATAGCGCCGAGTCGTAAGGCAAAGCGTGCCATCATCTTTGTCTCTCTCTCTCTTCCCTTCCCACCCTCCCCTCCCCTCCCCTTTGCAGAAGTTGCTCTGGGCTTCTTGCCACGCCGGCGATACACCTATGATAAATTTTGACTTCCATCAATTTGCCAAAGGCGGGAAGCTAGAAAAATTGGAGAACCTGTTGAGGCCCCAGTTGAAGTTGCACTGGGATGAGTTTGATGTGTTCACAAAGGGCAAGAATGTGAGTCCACGGTGAGTCGCCTCCAGGGGCCCCATCATCCTGTTGGCTGAGGTAGCAGAGGTGCTGAGGGTGCTCCTCTGGTCCCTGACCCCTACAGTGCGTGCTTGTGTCAAAGACGGTCTCCGTCTTCTTGCTACTTACCTACACCTGTGGTTTCCTGGGCCATATACTCCGTGCTATTGAATATTTTGGGGTCCAACTGCCTCTTTTCCCTTCCCGCAATCAGAAACATGCTTTTTGATTTTGCAAGTAGATGGTAAAGTATTGTTTTCTGGCAAAAGAAATTTATTAATAAAGGGGACCACATTAAATGTAGAGCTTCCCCCCACTCCCTGCCACCCCCAAGTTGATTCTGACTCATAGTGATACCATGTGCATCAGAATAGAACTGTGCTCTATAGGGTTTTCAGTGGCTGGTTTTCTGGAAGTAGACTGCCAGGTCTCTCTTCTGAGGTGCCTCAGGATAGACTCAAGCCTTCAACCTTTCGGTTAGTAGCCAAGCACATTAACCATTTGCACTCCCCACTGTACAGCTAGGGTGACAGTATAACTTAGCATCCAACCTGAGGTACTTGGGAGAGTGAAAGGGGTGCTGGGACAGCTGGCATAAACTCGATTTCCCAAGGAGACCAGGACAAGTGCTGCCTGCTCAGACCTGAGGAGAAGGCCCCATGAGGAGACCTGGACAGGTGCTGCCCGCTCAGAGCTGAGGACAAGGAAAAGGCCCTGTGAGAAGACCAGGACGGGTGCTGCCTGCTCAGACCTGAGCAGAAGTCCCCGTGAGGGGACCTGGACAGGTGCTGTCCGCTCAGACCTGAGGAGAAGGCCCTGGGAGGAGACCTGGACGGGAGCTGCCTGCTCAGAGCTGAGGAGAACGCCCCGTGAGGAGACCGGGACAGGTGCTGCCCGCTCAGAGCTGAGGAAAAGCCCCGTGAGGGGACCTGGATGGGTGCTGCTTGCTCAGATCTGAGGAGAAGGCCCCGTGAGGAGACCTGGACAGGTGCTGCCTGCTCAGAGCTGAGGAGAAGGCCCTGTGAGGAGACCTGGATGGGTGCTGCCTGCTCAGATCTGAGGAGAAGGCCCTGTGAGGAGACCTGGATGAGTGCTGCCTGCTCAGAGCTGAGGAGAAGGCCCCGTGAGGAAACCGGGACGGGTGCTGCCTGCTCAGAGCTGAGGAGAAGGCCCCATGAGGAGACCGGGATGGGTGCTGCCTGCTCAGATCTGAGGAGAGGGCCCCGTGAGAAGA